TCATTTTTATTCATCATTGTGCAAAAGGCTGTCCCAACACTCATCGTATCAAGGCCAAAGCGGTAGTTAGGGCATTTGACTTGCATGAAGCTGACATGGGTTTGATTGCTGGCACCCAATATGGTTCCCAAGCCCCCACGAGAGGTGATCACTGAGCACAGAGCAAGGAGTAAGCCCTGAGAACCCCTGGGTGTAGCCCCAAAACAAACAAAAATACCAACACTCGTCATCATGTGATCTTATTTTACGTCTCCATCATCTTTTTTTTATTGCTGTCTCCTATTAGGTGCTGAGTGCCTGGCAAGTCATAGGTGCTCAATAAATGCTATCTACATTTATTGTTGAGGTAGTGAATAAGTGAGCAAAATAAACCATATCACAGAGTTACATTTGATATATAAGAACTAAAGAAGAGTAGCATAAAAGTGAGCAGAAATGAATATACCGAAAGGCCTGAGAAGCATAATCAGTAGGTAACATATGATGGACTTTATTTTAGACAGGTTAAATAGTGTGTATACCAGTACACAGTTAGGGAACTGGATCAGAAAGGATACATGTTGGAGGGCAAAAAAGCAAATTTGAGGAAAGTCGAAACTCATCCATTTCTAGGAGAAAATAGAACTAAATCATTGTCTCTTCCTTTGGCATAGTTTCTTACTTCAATCTTGACAATCACCTCTGAACACTTTCCTGTTGACCTCAATTGATAGAATGATATATGAAAACTTCCCATTTTATGTCCCGGCTTTACATATTCTCTGAAGAAGCTTAACTATTTTACCCAGTGAGGAAATAGTTCATGTCATAAAGTATATGACTAGCAAGTTGGGAAGCCCAGGAGGGAAGGAGGGAGGGAGGGAGGGAGGGAAGAGGAAAGGAGAGAGGAGGAGGAGGGAGGAAGGGAGGGAGGGAGAAAGGGAGGGAGGGAGAAAGGGAGGGAGGGAGAAAGGGAGGGAAGGAGAAAGAAAAGGAGGAAGGGAGGGATAGAAGGAGGAAGGAAAGAAGGATGGAAGGAAGGAAAGAAGGAAGGAAGGAAGGAAGGAAGGAAGGAAGGAAGGAAGGAAACGGAAAACTAGGAAAGATATTATATTACTTGATGTATAGATGTCGTTTAAATCTAAGTGATACCAAAATTAATGACAAATCATCTCCCTACCCTACACACACACACACACACACACACACACACACAGTAAATTGGACAGCTCACATTGTAAGGTACTGCCAACCCTCTCAGAGAGCCCAGCAAGCTACCGAGACCGAGAGTATCTCACCGACACGGCAAAGCCTGGCAAGCTACCCTTCATATGCCAAACACAGTAACAACAAGTCTCACAATGTTACTGGATCCACTCGAGCAAATCGATGAACAATGGGAGAACAGTGGCAGTGATCTATAATTGGTCTGACTTTTTCCTGGATGTGTGTGTGTTTGTGTGTGTACCATGCAGATACAGTCTAAGATTAACAGAGAAAATACTCTCTGTAATAATATATCCAGTGAAAATAGACCAAATCACTGAAAACACATGATGTTTATTTCCCTGATAACTCCACATAGGTGGGGCACTGGAAAATGTTTGGAACCAGGAAAATAACCCTATCCCCTGTAAATCTGATCCCTTCCACCACAATTGGCAAAATAGTAATGAACTGAGTTATTACTGCCACCAGAGTTTCTCAACCAGGGTCCATGTCCTCAGAATATTCCAAGGGAGTAGGCCACAGGTGACAATCACATAAACGGGGGCCATGGTGCAGGACTAGCAGGCCAACAGGTAGTCACAGGAAGAAGCAATTGGTCAAAAGGGGCTCTATTTGGTGAAAAAAAAAAACATGGAGAAAGAATGATTTACACTCTGCCCAGGCTGGTTTGCTTTATTTACAGTGTCCTGAATCTCTTTTTTCACTTAGTCTTAAAATTGTTTCCTGAAAGATGCCAAAGATACTATCTCTGGATGAGGTGGTTCTATCATTTTGGGGGTTTTAAAGGCACTTCTTTCTTTTCTTTCAACTTTCCCCCTCTTTTTAGAAATAAGATTATCCTAGTGCTAACACTAGAAATATTTGATCGCATACCTATCTACAACAGGACCCTTTCTGGACTGATCAGAAAGTCAGACTGCCGGGGATTTGTGATCTCAAGTCTAACACTAATTGACTAATGACCTAACATACACTGATGAGCTAATAGTATTTTGACAAGCACAACAAGTACTGGCATGTCATATTATCCAGAGAACTTTCCAAACAAGCACCCAAAACTCATCTGACATCTGAAAGGTAACGCTGGAGACTTGCCAGGATGGGTTCACAGGATTCGCAAACCAGAGTCACATCTTCTCTTTAGATGACCTGTTCTAAAAAGTAAAGGTAAAGGTAAAGGTAAAGGCCCTCCCGTTGATCATCGATTTGCTCGAGCGGGCCCAGTAACGTCTCCATTGGAGACTTTGTTGTTACTGTGTCTGGCATATCGAATACTCTCGGTAGCTTGCCGGGCTCTCCGAGAGGGGCGGAGGAATCGAACTCGGGTCGGCCATGTTGGCTGCGTGCAAGGCAGACGCCCTACCCGCTGTGCTAAAAAGTAAAACTGAAGACAATTAAATCTTTTTTTCATAGTTGATATCTATGTGTCTATACAATAGTTGTGAGTAAATACTTAAAAACGTACAAGTCATTCATCATGAGCCATATTCACCACCATAAGAGAAGGACCTCAATTAAATGTACTGCACTCAGTTACCATAAGATGTTTAAGACAAAGCTTCTTCATATTCACTTTTATCTTAATTTAAGTGCCTGTTTGACTTTACCTGTCACTGTCACTGTCATTTTCCTCCCGTTGTTCATCAGTTTGCTAGAGCAGCCCAGTAGCATTGTGAGACTTGTTACTGTGTTTGGCATATCGAATATGTCACGGGGAGCTTGGCCCGCTTTGCCATGCAGGCTAGATACTCTTGGTAGTTTGCTGGGCTCTCCAAGAGGGGCAGAAGAATCAACTCCGGTCAGCCATGTCAGCTGCATGCAAGGCAAATGCCCTACCCGCTGTGCTATTGCTCAAGTTTGCATGTTACATTTTTTAAAGTGATTTCTAATTCTTATGCCAATGGTTTCAAAAAGTTTTTCCTCACCTGAAAAAGCACGGAAGCACGGTCCTCCCGTTGTTCATCGATTTGCTTGAGCGGGCCCAGTAAGTCTCCATTGGAGACTTTGTTGTTACTGTGTCTGGCATATCGAATACGTCACAGGGAGCTTGCCAGGCTCTGCCGTGCGGGCGAGATACTCTCGGTAGCTTGCCGGGCTCTCCGAGAGGGGCGGAGGAATCGAACTCGGGTCGGCCATGTTGCTGCGTGCCAGGCAAACACCCTACCGCTGTGCTAAAGAAATTAGAAAAAATAATAGCAATCATGTTGGTGGTAAAGGATGATGTAAGACTGAAGATGAAGATGTAAAACACGTACAATTGCTCCTACATCCAAATGATGCTGAGTATACAAGCCCTGCTCTCTCCACACAGGTCCTCTTGGAACAAGTGGTCCCCTCAACATCTTCAGTGTGCCTACAATGTCCATACAATGTTCCGTGACATTCGTTTCCCATCTGCCAGAAATGTAAGTTTAAGGATCGAATCTGAATGTGGTTGTAATTGCTCCAACCAAAATTAAAACCCGGGGAGATAGTACAGTGGTTAAAGCACAGCCTTTGTGTGCTCTGATTCTGGTTTGATCCCATACTGCCTGGCCCTCCAAGCAATATTTTGTGTGGCCCAGAGGCCCCCAAGCACCTGCAGGGTGGTCTAGGTGATCCTCCGAGTGGCCCTGCAGGATCCAGGTCCTAGCACTGAATCATCAGTACCAGTTGTTACCTGTTACCCCTACCCCCCACCCCACCTCCACCCTCCCCAGCAATACTTCAGAAGTCCTCTGAAAAATTAAAATGTATTTTGAGTATATCGACTAATGGTCTCATATGCACTTGTTCATTATTCATTGGGTTGAGTTTTTGCATATTTTCATTTAGATACCCCAACTTAAATAAAATTGCACATGTAGTGTTGTGAGGACCGTCCCAGGGTGGGAGAAGCATGCTAAAAGTAATCTATAGACCAAACATGATTGCCACTCAATGCCTCTCTTGCAAAACACAGTACCCAAAAGAAGAGAGAGAGAACAAGGGGGAATACCCTGCCACAGAGGCAGGATGGGAGGGGGGGGAAAAGGGGGTGGGGGGGATGCTGGGACCCGTGGTGATGGATGACGGGCACTGGTGGAGGGATGGGCACTTGATCATTGTATAACTGAAACCCAAGCACAAAATTTGTAAGCCTATAACTGTACCTCATGGTGTTTCACTAATAATAAAAGAAAAAAAAAGTGGAACTAAAAAAAAATTGCACATGTAGTAAGCATAATATAGACATATATATCCACAGATACTTATGACTACGTGTACTTAATTACAGAAGTGTTTAATATTATTGAGCAAGCCCTGTAAATGGGAGCGACTCATCACCACGACAGCCCTCCAAGTAAGCACAATCCATCCCCCCTGCTCTGCAGAAGAGGAAAAGTGAGGTTTCAGGGAAGCAGTGTCATGTTAATCAATCCAGCTTGAAAGTAAGTATTAGCACCCCCAAAACAGCCCTGGGCGTCTGAGTGTGTTTTACTGAAAAACGCCGAGGCTGTTGTGCAGGGGTCTCTCCCCTGGACAGCGAGGCCCTCGGCCGGCTCGCGGGACAGGTGTGGCCTGAAGAGCGCGGTGGGAAGGAGGCCCAGGCTCCTCCCGGTCACTCCCGCGGGCAGGCGCGGCTCTTTCTTCCAAAGTTGGAGCTCTCCTTGGTGGGAGGAGGCGGGGACCCGGGGCGCCCGGTGACGTCAGTGGGGAGCGGGGATAAAGCTCTGGGCCGCCGGCCGGCCGGGGCCGGGACGCGCGCGCTGACCAGGGTCACTGCGCCCCCGCCGGAGCCGGAGCCGGAGCCGGAGGAGAGCGAGCCGCAACCGGAGCATCATGCCCCAGAATGTGGTCCTCGCGGGCCCCGCGCCCTGGGGCTTCAGGCTCTCGGGGGGCATCGACTTCAACCAGCCTCTGGTCATCACCAGGGTAGGGAGTGGTCCCCTCTTGGGCTGGGGCGCGCGGTGCGTCCTCGTGGCTCGTCCACGGGGCGCTCACGCTCGGAGCACTGTCCTGGGGAGGGAGCGCTTGGAGAGGGACCCGAGGGGGATGCCTCGCTGCGCATCCGCGGGAGGGACGTGGCCCCCTGGCTCGGGAACGTCCAGGCGGCGCGAGGTGGGCACCTCTCCACGGGGCGGACCCCGGCTGTCTTGTCCTGGGAGCTGGGCGCCCGTCTAAAGTCGCTTTCTGGTCTGGGTGGCGCTTCAGCAGAGCGCTGTTCGCAGGGCACCGCCTGGGTCCGCCGAGTCGGAGCTGGTCACATCAGCCCAGGTGGCAAGAATGTTACGAATGTGTCTTCCTGAAGATACATTTTTTCCGAAGCTGGGCACTGGGCTTAGTTCCTCTAACCCAACACCTAGAAGTCAAGCGTCTATCAAGAACAAAGAGAACAGTTGAGTTGACCTGCTAAAAAGTCTCCATTCGTGCCCTATTGCTGAAAATAGTGCCTGGAAGTCCAAGTCAAGGTTTTTAGTATTCTGGGAACCAGTGTCTCCATCAGATTCCTACCTTGGATCCCTTGGGACCTTCCATAGGCTTCCCTGCGCTGTTGGCTGGCCCCCCTTGTCCCAGACAGTGGCCCTCCCGCCCATATACTTGATTTGGACCTGTAGCCCCTTGAAGTATCCTGGGACTCACTGAAGCCCAAAAGGTCAAGAAGGAGGAAGGGAAGGAAGGAAGGAGGGAAGGAAGGAGGGAGGGAAGGAAGGAAGGAAGGAAGGAAGGAAGGAAGGAAGGAAGGAAGGAAGGAAGGAAGGAAGGAGAGAAGGAAGGAAAGAAGGAAGGAAAGAAGGAGAGAAGGAAGGAGGGAAGGAAGGAGGGAAGGAAGGAGGGAGGGAAGGAAGGAAGGAAGGAAGGAAGGAAGGAAGGAAGGAAGGAAGGAAGGAAGGAAGGAGAAAAGGAAGGAAGGAAGGAAGGAAGGAAGGAAGGAAGGAAGGAAGGACAGAAGGAAGGAAAGAAGGAAGGAAGGAAGGAAGGAAGGAAGGAAGGAAGGAAGGAAGGAGAGAAGGAAGGAGGGAAGGAAGGAAGGTTAAAGATTTCCATCAGTAAATTCTAGTTGGCTAGTAAATTGTTTTCTAACACAAGTATTCTTTCTTAATTTGTTATTTCACTTATCATGTAAGAAGTATATTAAATCTAGCCTAAAGAATACACGTTCCAGATTATACTTTATTATGCTTTCTTTCCTCCTTAGTGCTTATACCATATTTTATAAATTATATTTTTTATCATCTTTCCAACATAGATTTTTCAACAAGGTAATACCTTTTAAATTCTGCTCTTACGTGCCATTTTAAAATATTTCAAAGCACGTATCATTATAGATGCATACCATGGAAAGTTCCAAGATTCCTTTTATGTTTTTCAAAATATAAACACATAAGACATGCGTTTCTGTATCAGACATGAAAATGTAGTGTACCTTCCCACTTACCACACACACAAAATGTTCCAGAGTAAGTTAAGCAAAATGAGCTTCAGTGATCTAGACCAAGCAATGCCTTTTATGGGTCTACCAAGGGAAATAGTTTCCATTATCTTGACTAAGAAATATTTTTAAAGTTTCTGAAGTATAGTTTTTATTTGTTTATATGAAAGTCAATTGTAACAAAGAATAAACTGTATTTGTGTTAAATCTAAATAAATAATTTTTCATAAAAATCCTTTAAGCAATGTATAAGAGTTTGTTACTACTATGTAACATGTCAGTATGATTGTATGTTCAAATATTTAAGTTATTAACATTATAAACAGTTTATTTTGGAGTGGTAGTAACATTTTGGAGTTGGGCAGCAGGCTATTAGCAAGTGTATTCATATGGAGAAAACTACTATTTGGCAAACCAGTTCTAGTTTAATTAAGACAATTAATTTGGACTATTCATGTTGATTTAATAACATACATGATCATTATTTAATTAGACTAATCTTTTTGTCTTCAACTAAGTTAACTCAAGGTGAACAGGTAAACTAAACTGTTCTACATTCTAAGTATCCCCATAACCTTACATAATAGATTCTCACTGAATAAATAAACCATATTCACTTAAACCTTTGTTGCCTTAACAAAGAGTAGTCACATACTGGGCAATATTTCCACTGAAATTAGAACTTTAAAAATCATTTGGAAAAGATATGACCCTAAATGTCCTTCTCCAAGTGTAACCTTTTAAATTACAGAAAAGATATTTCTTGAAAATATCAATGTTATAATTAAGTCATTCTTTTAATATATAATAGTATATTATACTTAAAAGTTGATGAAATAAACTTAGTGAAAAAGGTTGCAAGTGTCATTAAATTTTAGATTGCAGTGTAATCCTGTAAGCACTTTGTATGCCCTGACTCACTTAAAGTTCACAACAATCCTCTAAAAGTAGTATTAATAACCCTTTTTTCAGATGAGGATAATGAGACCTCAAGAGATTCATTAACCAACCAATATATCTCATAGGATGTGAAAAGCTACATTCCATCTACATCTAAAATTCTGCGTATTGTACAGATACTTCCAAATAGGTGTTTGGTATCATCTGTTTTGTGGATTTTGTACCTTTAACTTCTACCGTTCCTTTTTTTCAACTATTGTTTCCATGAAGATTTCATCATTTTTGCAACTAGTTTCTGTGTCCTCCCTGCACATTCAACCCATATATTCCTACCAGCCATTCTGGGGAAACAGGCTTCCAATTCTTTAAAACCCCCTCAACAGTATGACCAGTTATTGCAAAAAAAAAAAAAGTGGATTCTTTAACACAGAAATCAAGACTTGCAGAATGGGGGTGGGGGTTGGGGGCAGCGGAAGGGAAACTGGGGACATTGGTGGCGAGAAATGTACCCTGGTGATGGAACAGGTGTTGGAACACTGTATGACTGAAACCCAACGTTACAAATACAACTTGGTAACTGTGTGTCGCATGGTGATTCAATCAAAAAATTAATTTAAATATATATACTTTAAAAGCCATCCTCTATCGTAATTCAAGTTTCCAACGTCATTTTCTCCGTCTCCTTCATCTGTCTTTCTTTCTCCCACCCATTGGTAAGAGGTGCTGCTACCACTCCAGATTACTTACAATTTCTCTAACATGACTTGATTTTAGTTATTATTTCTCTCCAAAACTTTCATAATCCCTCTATCCTCTATTCCAATGTTTCTCAGCATTTCCCAACTTCTCTTGTTTTCTTTCTTTGCTTCCCCTCTCCGTCCCTACCACTTGGCCACCAAAGTCATGTGCCATGCCCTCTATTAATGCAATTTTCACCTGCAATGCCTTGGAAAATCTGGGGAACTACAGGGGGCCCATATGGCCTCTGGTTAGTCTATAGGAGAAATCTATTCAAATACTATGAACTTAGTTTTTCCCAGCAACAATTGTAGCACTGTAGCACTGTCCTTGTGCTGGTCATGGATTTGCTCGAGGGGGCCCAGTAACATCTCCATTGTGAGACTTCTTGTTACTGTGCTTGGCATATTGAATACATCACAGGTAGCTTGCCAGGCTTTGCCATGCGGGCGAGATACTCTCGGTAGCTTGCCGGGCTCTCCAAGAGGGGCGGAGGAATCGAACCTGGCTTGGCCGGGCTGGCTGCAGGCAAGGCAAACGCCCTACTGCTGTGCTATCGCTCCAGCCCCCCAGCAACAATTATTTCATCCATTTGATTACCTCTGATCTACAGCCTACCACTTGTATCACAAATATATCCCACAGAATGGGCTGGAGCGATAGCACAGCAGGTAGGTCATTTGCCTTCCATGCAGTCAACTTGGCCGACCCGAGTTCGATTCCTCCGCCCCTCTCAGAGAGCCCGGCAAGCTACCGAGAGTATCTCGCCCGCACGGCAGAGCCTGGCAAGCTCCCTGTGACATATTCGATATTCGATATGCCAAACACAGTAACAAGTTTCACAATGTCACTGGGCCCGCTCGAGCAAATCGATGAACAACGGGAGGACAGTGATAGTGATCCCACAGAATGTCTATATCTCACTGAATGTCATAAAACATCACATTCCCTCTCAGCTTGGAGATTGCTCCATTGTAAGCACAGTGTATACGTTACAGTATATGTTACAGAATATAGATTGCATTCAAATGACTAGATTGTTCACCTTTTCCATGAATGTACTATAAAAGAGTTAAGGATTATTTTCTGAAAAATTTCATAATAAGCCTCTTCAGCAGCATATGCACTCAAATCAGAACAATACAAAGATTAGCCTGGCCTCTGTGCATTTATGACATGGAAGTTCAGAAATGTTTCATTTTTCAAAATTTCCAAAATAAAATAATAAAATGAGAATTTTTTTTACTGATTTCTATCTCAAATAATGTTTTGTTTTTGAGCCACACCAGATGGTGCTCAGGGCTTACTCCTGACTCTACACTCAGGGGTCACTTCTGGCAGTACTTGGGGGACCATAAGGGGGGCTGGGGTTCCAAACCAGGTTAACCATGAACAAGGCCAGCAACCCTAAATGATATCTCTCTCGCTCACTCGCTCACTCTCGCTGGCTCTCTCCCTTTCTCTCTCTCCCTTTCTCTCTCTCTTTCTCTCTCTCTCTCTCTCTCTCTCTCTCTCTCTCTCTCTCTCTCCCCTCTCTCTCTCTGCATTACAGTGAGATTACCCTAGATAATTTCTTAAGTATGTAAGGAATTAAATTGCCTGCACTTAATGCTACAAAGTATTCTATAGATAAGATACTTTTGTGTGTGTGTGTGTGTGTGTGTGTGTGTGTGTGTGTGTGTGTGTGCGCATGTGTCACACCCAGCGATGGTAAGTTACTCCTGGCTCTGCACTCAGGAATTACTCCTGGTAGTGCTCGGGGGACCATATGAGATGCTGGAAATCAAACCCAGGTCGGCCGCATGCATGGCAAATGCCCTGCCCACTGTTGCTATTACACCAGCCCTTAGATGAAATACATTCT